GTCTTGCAGCTTTTACTCATTTTGTTTTAGCTTGAATCTGGCTGTTGTGCTATATGGTGCTATTTTTGTTGGTCTTACATTCCAGGTTTTTTTTTTTTTAATTCAGGAGAAATGGGGGATAAATTTAGGGAGGTTTGCTTGAAATACACAAATCTTGCAATTAATGGTAACAACGGTGATGATGAAAAAAATAGTATGACTTAAAAATAATCTCTGACCCTGGTTTCTGTTTGCAAAATATTTTGTGTTTGCGAACTGTGTTAGGAGTGGAGATTTATAAATCACTAAACAAATAGCAGTGGCCTTTCCTAATCAGCTGTTTGTACTGTTGCCGTAGTATTCTTGCTGGAAACAAGAATAAGGTACGCGTGTCCTGTGAAACAGGGGAGTGACAGAGTGAGATTCTTGAGTCACCAAAACCTTGAGAGAGAAGCCATGTCATGTTGATTGTTGATTTAAACAAGCACTTGAACCCCTTAGCCCAGTCAGTGGTCATTGCAAACTGTAAATCCCTATATTAGAGACCCAACTCACGATGCATTTCCCTTTTTTTTTCCTTCTGAAAACTTAGGTGTGAAGGATCAGCTGACGTCTTGAACTTGAGACAAAGAAAGATGCATTGAATATATATACAGTAGTAGGTATTTTGCCACATGGTAAATACCTTGAATTTAACACTTAACTGTGCTCTTTTTCTCCCTCTGTTTTTAAATAATAAGAATACTATAATAGTTGAACTGCAGGACTGGAAGGGGGACCCTCTGGGGTCATCAAGTCCAGCCCCAGCCAAGGAGGTGCCGTGGAGGAATTGAACTCCCAACCTCCAGTTCCACAGTCAGATTCCAAACCATGGAGCCATGTAATAGTTCATTTTTGATTATACTGTTGGGATGAATGTATTTTATATACCTTTTCGTTGTTGTTAGCTGCGCTGACTGGTGTGAAAATGGCTTGAAGGTTAGATAGAAGCTTTTTTTTAAAAATAACTAAATATATAATTTGGGTGACTGATTTATTTATTTATTTTATTTATTTATTGCATTTATATGCCGCCCATCTAGACATAGTCTACTCTGGGCGGCTCACAATTTGCCTGAGTGGGGATTTAAATGGATTGTTGTACTTTACTGCTTTGAATGTGTTTTAGTGATGCTCATCTCCTCTAGTGTGGCATTTGTTAGATCCTTTTTTGTATTTGTATAAGCACCATTGTTAGCTTTAAATATTGTCTTTTAGTGATTGATGTTTGGGTTGTCTTTAAGGAGGAAGGTGGGGGTAAAAATATTTTAACCATACCCTCTCTCCCTCTCTCTCCCTTTCTCTCTTAGCTGCCTTAGGTTTTCATAGGTTTGGAGAGGGAATTTAAAAATAAAACAATGCACAAATTGTGTTCAATTGTTTAATTGTGTTATAATTTTTTATCTTTGTGTTGCATTCTATGTCGTAAGCCGCCTAGAGTGGTCGTACTGACCAGATAGGCGGGGTATAAATAGAATTAAACAGACAGACAGACAGACAGACACTTAGGAGTTCCTGTGCATTTTAAAAATTCTGATATTGCATGGTTCAAGGGAAGAGAGCAGGTGACAAACCATCTCTTGTGTTGCCCAACCAAGAATTCTTGTCTTTCTAGAATATTTTTTGCATGTTTTTCTCTCTAACCCTTCCCTCAATTAGCACAGGATTCTTGTCTTCAAATTACAGACAAGAACGAGGAGGCTGAGGCTGAGGGAAGGTGGCTGGCTGGAAGGATACCTGGTGAGGAAAAACATCCTTCACGTGGCTTGGTTATCCAGGGGAATGAAGGATGGCATTAAGCGAGAAAGAGAGAGAAGAAGAAGAAAAAATGCTAGGAAGGTGAATCAAGGCCGAGGGCAGAGTAAGGTGGCTTAATTTGCAATTTCCGTATTGCTGCTTGTTTATAGCCAGAAATGCACATCGTTGTGCATTTCATTTCCTCTCTTCAGGGTTAGGGCGATCAGAGGGTAGGTCACCCTGACCATTCTCTTGTCCTTCCAAAGGAGCTTCATGTCGGAACTCTGTCCTGCCGCATTAAAAGCCCTTTATTCCACGGCTCCCGCCATGGCAACCACAGTGACATCACAACAGAAAACTGCCGTGCCTTGTGTCCCAAAGGGTTTGGTTCCGAGAATCGGAATCCATTTCTGCAAATGGCAGCAGGACCTGTGGGGGTTCGTTCACAAGGTGAGCCCTGCAGCCGACCCACTGGGGTATTTCATCGTGGCCTTGGAGCAGAATTGAGCTGGACTCTAGCCCTGGGTATGAGCAAGTTCCTGTTGCAACCACATCAGGGTTGTGTTACTCATGTGCGGTGGAGGGGACCGGTTCGCTCTTTTCCTCCTTCACCCCCACAAAAGTAAGAGGGTCGGCAACATGTGGCCCTCCGCCTCCCATCAGCTTTAACGGTTGTGAGGCTGTGGCGTGTCCAGCCATCTCTGGAGGGCTACGTGGTCCCCCATCTCCATGGTGGGCTAAAGGGGCCACTCACAGCCATTTCTTTTCTTTACAAACTCCCCCCATTTTTTTTTTTATTGTTAGAGGAACAATTTTGGTTGAGACCCCTTGCCTCCGCTTTCCGTTTGTGACTTTTTGGGCCTCCCCCACCTTTTCAGCTGCAGGGCATGAGGACGGAGGGCGGATGAAACCTTTGCGAGCATAGTGGCCTCAAGAAAAAATGGCCCACCACAGAGATGTGTGTTTTGTGTTGAGGGCGAAACATACACAAACCTCGTGACACAATTAACAGCCTTTTGGTACCAGCGGTGTCTTTGCTCCACGGCACAGCGTGCTGGGATTTGTAGTCGAGGGGGCAATATAAAATTCGCTGCTCTAGCTTGACCGGATTTTGTGCCGTTCTCCAGCAAAGGTGGGTCTAAGGACTGCACGAAACCCACAAATACAAGGATTGTGTAAGAAAAGAGCCCTGGGCAGCTAAAGTGGCCTAAAACTGCTAATGGAAAGGCCTTTGAGATTGATTGATTGATTGATTGATTGATTGATTGATTGATTGCTTTTGTATACTGCCCTATTAGTGCAAGGCACTTCGTGGTTTTCAGTATGATAAACGCAAGAACAATAAAATTATGAACAGTCAGACAAATAACACAAAAACTGCCTTTAATTCGCAACCTGCTCTTGTTCTCCGTTGAGCAGTTTATTTAATTGAAATATTTATAGATTATCCAATAGACTGTGTCCTTGGAACAGTTTACTAAGGTAGAAAAACAAATCCCGGGTCTGTTTATCCCATTTCTCTGACCCCTCTGGGTGTTTCCCTTCTGGATCGCTCTTTTCCGTGGTGTAGAAGGAGAGAGAAAGAACCAGGGGCAGCTTTTCTGGACCAAATGAGTAATTAAAAAGTGAGGTCTTCCATCTCATTAGGGAGCAGGGCTGAGCAAAATAACCCAGCCCCTGTGCAATTTGAGAAAACGTTGATTTCTGCAGCTTGCTCCCATTGTGGAAGGACAGGAAGTTGTTGGTCCCGGATGATGGAAGAGGGACGGTAACTGAATTATTTGTGTCACCCTGCAAAATTAAAGCAAAGCGATTCATCTCTATTTCTTTCCTCTACACCCCTTCCTTGCCGTCCTGCTGATCAAAAGTTGAATCCTTTTACAAGTATGGGGGGAAAAACGTCTTGTGCTGCTCCAGTAAAAATTGTGGAGAGCGAATCAGGGGAATTCTATTGTCGGATCCAGATATTGCAATCCTTAGTCTTGGTGGAAATATTTCAAGAACCCTTGGCTAGCAAAACTATGGTATTTTCCACCCCTCCTCTCTGTTGGACGCCGAACACCATTAAAGAGAAGAGGGAATATGTATGTTTCTTCCCTAAAAAGAATAAAAAATCTATGAATTGACATATTTGTTTGAAAGTTGGGCTGAAGCCCTGATTTTGCTCAGTTGAGTGTTCTCTGCTCTGTGCTTTCCACGGTTTCTTGTAATTGTGCAGGGCATATACTTGAAGACAGGGTCCTTGTTCCATAGGGTTTAGTCGTCTTCTGCTTCTTACAAAGTTTTCAAGAGGTCTTGTACTTTGGCAGCAGGTCTGTGAAGAGAAAATTGTGTGTGTGTGACTTCTTGAGAAACTATCTGAAGGTTGTTGTTGGGTTTTTAAGAATTATTATTATTGTTGGCTTCCATGTTTGTGTTTCATATCTACCTGTCCCTGGATTAATAGGAAGAAAATACCTTTGGTCTCCTTTGTATTGCTGTTGGGTAAGGAAATAATCCCTCCTACCCACTCCAAAAAAAAGGAATGCTCATAAATCTCAGTTTCTTAACTGTACTTTTAAAAAATCTGGAAGCTTCACATTCCAGCTTCGTGTCCGCAAGCAAGATCTTTAAAGTCTTCTAAAGCTTTTGGTTTAACCTTTACCGATGGCGCTGGGCAGATGGCTCTCGTCTTAACAACTGTTGTGTGTCAAAAAGGGCTGTGACTCAGAGGTTCAAAGTTCTCCCACTTTGGCACCCGAGCAGCGCGAGGGGGAAAAAAATTGCAACCGATATTATGGTCTTTCTGGTATTTAGAAGCAAGAATACTAACCTTAAAACAATTAAAATTAAAAACAATAAAAAGTAAAAAAAAATAGTTTTTAGACTACAGGGCTGTTGATTTGGCCTAGTGCAGAAGTGCAAATATGGTCTGCAAAAATCTCGTAGGACAAAGCGGTATTGGATTATAGCGCCCTGTGCGCCCAGGCTTTGTATGTGACTGCCAAAGCCACAATATATTACCCCCACAGATCTGTGATGACTTTTTATTTGTATTTTAAGTTTTAAATATCCAACTCATAGTTATAAACTCAGTTTGCTTCCTCTTGAGAGATGTTTGGAACAGCTGCTACTTCTGGCTTTGTCAAATTACTAATTACTTTTAAGCTTCAGGTAATAAATCCCCTTTGTGATGTGGTAGTCGTGAGAGAGGCCACTCACGTTAATGCAGTGTGTTTTGGCTGTATCTTAAACTGATGTCTGGTGGGGGGGGGAAAAGGAAGGTAATTGGACTGAGCGGCTTCAGAACAAAATTGTAATTTAGGACTTCGGCTGTTTGATGGTATAGCCCCTTCTATTCTCTCTTTGCTTTCTTGTGAAGTGATTCCTCCCTCATGGGTCCCCCTCCATCTTGGGTTAGATGATTTGTTGTTGTTTCATTGTTTCGTCGTGTCCGACTCTTCGTGACCCCATGGACCAGAGCACGCCAGGCCCTCCCGTCTTCCACTGCCTCCCAGATTTTTGTCAAATTTCATGTTGGTCGCTTCAATGACACTGTCCATCCATCTCATCCTCCGTCGTCCCCTTCTCCTCTTGCCTTCACATTTTCCCAACATCAGGGTCTATTCCAGGGAGTCTTCTCTTCTCATGAGATGGCCAAAGTCTTGGAGCCTCAGTTTCAGGATCTGTCCTTCCAGTGAGCACTCAGGGTTGATTTCCTTCAAAATGGATAGGCTTGTTCTCCTTGCAGTCCAGGGATCGCTCAAGAGTCTCCTCCAGCACCACAATTCAAAAGCATCCATTCTTCGGCGGTCAGCTTTCTTTATGGTCCAGCTCTCCCTTCCATACATCACTACAGGAAAAAACATATCTTTTTAGACACCACTGGCTTTATGGCACCCTCTCCTCTGGTGCCGATCCTTCTCGCCACGTGGAGTAACATGGGTCAGCCAATGTGCTGGTGTAGTTCCCAAATAGCTAGTGGGCGTCGGTGATGCCCAGTGAGCATCTCTTGCTGTAGCACAGAAAAGTCTTATTTCTGCCAAGCTGATGCTCTGTGCATGTCTGGATGAGGATGATTGTTTAAGAACTTGAAAGTTGGGCGGAGGGGAGGGGGCATGCTGCTTGCTGGCAGAATGGGTTTCTGCATGGAACAAGTCCGAGCTGATTCTTGGGAATTGGTTTTATTGTTGGGAAAAAAATAGTTAAATATCTTCTCTGAACCAATTCGTTCTCTATAATTGGATTAGAGGAGGTGTCACTTTATGGTATGATTAACAATTCACGTTTACCCAAAAGTGTGTAGCCTCCACCCCCACCCCCAAAAAGAAAAAAAGACCCCAAAAGGCATTCAAAAACTAGAACCTTCATCAGCATCATCTTCTCTATTGCTGGCATCTCTAGTTAAAAAGTCACCAGTCCTTGGAAAAGCTGTGATCTGGCATTAGTTAAAGTACTGGATTAGATGTGTCTTACACCTATTTGTGCACAAGGGTAGATACACACACACACACCCTACACACATTTGTGCACAGCTCCCGGTTGCCTCTTCTTGTGTTCCAAGCAGCTCCGTTCCCATTGGCACAAAAGATGCTGCATGCATTTTGCCTGGTTGAGATGCCGTATTTTTTCAGAAGAGATATTGTTCTGCAGGATAATCTTTACCATGAAAACTGCAGGTGACATACCTGCATATAACAGAGTTTATTGGAGAGAATGCCTCGCCCCCGGTCTTCTTTATTCATCCGCCCTATATTATTTGATATACTTTTTCGCCACTTTTCAGAGTCCCGGACAGCTGTCTTTTCTGTGGCTCACAACTGCCTTTTTGCAATAGAGGTGCTGGCGATTGAAGCTGGATTGGCTCACTGTGTTTGTGATCCACCTTGCCAAGTTGTCTTAGAAAAAACCCTGTGAAGTAGAAAGTCAGGCAGGGAAGAAATGAGAGAGGAGGAGGTCCGAGGTCTCCCAGTGAGTTTTCCTGGCACCTGCTACACCACACTGCCTCTCCAAGCGCTACACGCACAAGATGTGTTCTGACACGGAGCCGCAGTTCCTGCTCTATGTATGGCAGGGATAACTCTTTCCTTCATTACAGCAATAGAAGATCCCTATCTCAGCAAAACACCTTCCATTAGCCGGCAATTTGGAAGAGATGGCAATTTTGAGCTTGCTTTTCAGATTAAAGGTGCTTAATGGCTGCAAATGGATTGCTTAAGTTAAAGAGGGCTGGGTCCCTGTGGTGGCAATTTGTGGCGTTGGCTCTGGGCAGTGGTTTGTCCTGGGAATTGGCGTGACCAGTGAGGTTTCAGAAGATGATTCATAAGTCAATAAAGGAGGCGAAGAGCAAACACGTATTGCACGAGGAGGCAGTGGCTTGTGTTGTCCCAGGCCTTCGTGGCATTTGCACAGGGGATAGCTTTATAACTTGTGCTGGGCAGCGAACTCTGCTTTCTGCCAATGTTTTCACATGGCGTTTCCGCAAGGTGTTCTAGAATAAGTGGGTAGCTCACTGCCTTTAGGCCTTTGACTGTAGAGCCAGAGGTTGGGAGTTCAGTTCCCCAATCTGCCTCCGGGATAGGAGCTGGACTTGATGATCTATGTGATCCCTTCCTGCTCTGCAGTTCTAAGATTATTATTGCAAGTGTGAGATCATGAGCGGAGGGCCTGTGGCCCTCCAGATGTTTTTGAACCACGGCTGTCATCAGACATAGTCATTTTAGCCCACAAGGAAACGATGCTATGTATGAGTTGTGTTCCGACAGCTGCCGGAGGGCCATGTGTTTCCATCCTTGTGCAAGACTGCTGTTTTCAGCTGGTATCAAAATATCTTATGAGCATGTCCTACTTTAAAAATATACGTATGTTCAAAACCAAAAAATATGTGAAGGAGGCCGAACTTGGATAACCCCCCCTTTTTTTGTCAGACTAAAAAAGGAATTATTCCAGGGTCAGAAAGAGGGTAGCTGGGATTCTTTACATGTTCGTAAATAAAGTTTGAAGGGCAAGAAGCTGAACTTTATCTCCTTTTTCTCTCCTCTTCCTATGTTAGACCTCAACAGGGGGAAAATGTTGAGAGTGAGGTCCAAAGCATTTGGCCCTTGCTGTTTTCATAAAAAAACAAAATACAACAGGTAGTAGAGGAGGAAAAAAGAAGCCTTAATGATTATGTTAGTACAAGCAGAGAAAAATTACTTAAGGCAATGAAAATGGAGAATATTTTGAAAATGACAGAAACAAAGGCTCAGTATAAGAAACAACAATCTGAAAATGAATTAAACAGCTGGAAAAAATAAACCACTACATGGACAACCTGAGAAATATTGATGGAAAGCATGATAATAACTCAACATGAGCATGGCTAAAACTGGGGGCCCTTAAGAAAGAAACCTAAGGCTTGACTTTTGCTCCACAAGAAAAAGCACCAATGTGATGAAAGCTAAGATCCAAGGAATTAGTGCTAGCAGCAAATGTTGACTCTGCCAAGAAAAAGATACAACTATGTCACACCTCATTGGTGAATGTCCAAAAACTGCACAAACAGATTACAAAATTAGACATGATAGAGTGGCAAAATTAGTGCACTGGTCATTATGCAAAAAATATAACTTGCCAGCTTCCAAAAACCTGTGGGAACATCAGATAGAGAAGGTGTCAGAAAATGAGGAAGTCAAGATCTTGCGGGATTTCCAAATTTAAACTGACAGACACCTTGAACATAACACACCAGATATAGTAGTAATAGAACGAATAAATATCTGGATCATTGACATTGCAATTTCAAGGGATGCCAGAGTTGAAAATAAAGAACTGGAAAAACTAACAAAATAGAGATCTGGCAATCGAAACATCTCGCTTGTAGATGACACACACTTCAGTTTGTCCTGTAGTCATTGGGGCTTTGGGAACAATATCAAGAAATTTCCCACAGTACTACTGTATGAATTTCCTTTTCAGTTGTTGCTTTTCCTGACATATGGTGTGACTGCAGTAAAACTGTCTCTGGATTTACTATTTCAGAACATGGGATCAATCTTCCATATATTTTTAAAATATCCCTATATGTAGAAAAGTAGCCCATAAGGGATTCCCTTACATACTCGTTTTCTGTATGGAAGCAACATTTTTGTAAGAAAGTGCATTCTAAGATGTGAGCTGCCACCTGTGATTTGCAAGCACTGCTGGATAGGCAGCAGTTAACCATCTCTAGTGCCGTAGTAATGCTTAAATCTGTCTCACTGTTCATGCACTGTTCATTCCAGATTGTTATCACTTTTCATTCTAAATAATTCTCCTCTTTCTCTTTCTTTCTTTTTTCCCATCAGGACCCAGCCTTAACTTATGGTGGATCTCTGTCTTCGATTCCTACTGTTTTGACCGAAGTTGCTGAAGCTTGCATGCTGCTTCATGCAGTCACAGTAAGTCAACCTTGGTTTCTTCGTTCCTGGGGGCAGTGGAACAGGATAGAATGATGTTTTACTTTTCAAGAAATGTTGTTGACCAGACAGAACTAGACACGGAACACTGTTACCTTCCCACCGAGGTGGTACCTATTTATCTACTTGCATTTTTACATGCTTTCGAACTGCTAGGTTGGCAGGAGCCGGGACAAGCGACAGGAGCTCACTCCGGTGCATGGATTCGATCTTACGACGGCTGGTCTTCTGAGCTTGCAGCACAGAGGCTTGTGCGGTTTAACCTGCAGTGCTACCACGTCCCTCGCAGCGCCACCACATCCCTATTAGGCACCTATTATGGTTGCCTTAAATTAGATGCTACCTGAGGATATGTGACAGGAAAGTTCTGCTTCTTAGTTGCAGCAGCCTGAGAACCGCCTCGTTCTGACGTCACTCTGACCTGCGGCCAGCTTCACAGGGCGTGTAGGCAGATGCCCGGGAAGAGCCTGCAGAGTTATGCTCGGGTGGCTGCTGTTTTGTATATAAAAGCCAAACGGACCAGGATTATTTATTTGGAAAAATGGCAAGAGCGTAACAATGAGGCAGAGAATGGGGTGTTTAGGGCTTTCGTTTCCGCATACCTTTCTAGGCTGAATGAGTGACAGGGTTTGAGTTATTGGGCATTCTTTGTCCAACTGTGTGCTTCAGTACTTGTGGCAAAACAGGGCGCATTGTGTTGCAGATTCTGAACGAGGGAAAAGAGGCTTATGAGGAAGTGGAGCTCAGTCAGTATTATTAGAGGCAGCTGATAATCCCTTTTACACACCCATCGCTGCCGTGCCTGTATGTCTTGTTTTATTTGAAACAGAGCGCAGACGCAGCCAAAAAAAAGATGGTGAGTGTTTCCAGGGTTTGGTTCCTGTTGGGGATTTGAACCTGGGGTGCTTTTTTCCTTGTGGGGGATGTGGAAGTGGTTAAGGGGTGAGAGCACAATTTTTCTCCAAAGTGGAGAAAAATTGTGACTGTCCTCCATTCTTAGAGAGAGTGTTAGAGACGGGGGTGTCGCTGGTCTGCCCGTTGTCTTCTTTCAGTTTGCCAAAAAGGTCCCTCTAGACGGCAATGGTGGCCAAATTTGAGGATGGACAATTTCAAGAAAATTGTTGATGTTTCTTTCTTTTGAATTATTTGGGTTTTATTCAGATGGACTTTTTAAGTAGTCCTGCCAGCTCCCCATGTCTACCAAAGAATAGCTCCCCACAAGATAGATTTGTTTAGAAACACTTCACTATACTTGTATATTTAGCTTCTTGCATATATGAAAATGCTATTTTCATTCAGCATAACGGGACTGTACAAACACATTCCACTTAGAAATTAAGGACTGAAATCAAGGCTCTGTCAGCCAGTTATAGAAATCTTAGTACATGTTGTTGAGTTAATTTTGAACTTACTTTGAACAGTTGTGCATTAAACAATTTAAATGGGACAATATCATTCTTTTTCTGTTTTTTTCCCATACCATTGCCTGTATTTAAAAATGAGGAAGAAGATTATCAACCCTGTCCTTGAGGAAAGGTGGTGTATGAATGTAAATGATTAGGCTTCATTGATTTAGGAATAATTATAAACTGGTTAGACCTTAAAGTTTCAAAGTGATATACCACAATAATAGATATACAGCAAATGCAACAGATTTGATACAAAGGTTTGAAACGGTGTATGTCCGTAATAAACAAACAATAAACAATATTTATGTTGTCACTGAAATATATGGGAGGTCGGGTTACGTGGGCAAGCTTGCAAAATACAGTAATAGCTGTTTTCAACATGCATTGGAAATTGTTAGAGCAGGTAACATGGAAAGATACGTAGAGTAGTAACGCTAAGATCAGGAAGAATACTACTCCTAAAGTCAGTGTTTTTATAATTTTGGTTGACTTTGCCTAGCATTGTTAAATAATAATGAGAATAATAGGTGGCTTGTGGACTGAGCTGGAGGCTCAGTACCTGAAGTGGGGCTGACAATGATGGCAGAGTTGGTGCGCATCGTGTCTGGTATAGGTATGTGTGCGAGAGAGGAATGCCTCTTATTCCATAAGTATTGATCAAGTCCTGTCTCCTCTTTTCAAAGTGTTCTTCTGCCGGATGTTAATAGAGGCAAACAAGGAGTTAAGTGAGCTCTCTAATATCTGCAGAGCATTAATGCGGCTGCCTGTAGCAACCACGGAAGTAGGGCAGTAGGCTGAGAGTCTTTGTTTTATACACCTGTCCTTTCTAAATATAGATCCACTTCCCAGTGGAGAGAGCGGTCTTTACTACAGCTGCTGCCTGGCTCATCTCCTTCTGGCCTGTCTTCTAACAAGCGGCGTTCATTTCTTTTTGCCTTCGTTGGACAAGATAGCAGTGCAAGAGCTTCGAACTTCATGGCTCTGTGGATGATGTTTGACGCCTTAGTATCAATGTGGGAGTGGCGTATAAATTTCTAGGTTTAATTTTTCTTCCCCACAACAGGACTTTCTCAGAGGCAAGGGCCTCAGCCATCAGATTCGCAGATTAAATCTGTATTGACCTACCAGTGGCCACATGCAGACGAGAAGCACGCTAGATGCAAGATACAGAGAGGAGGGAAAAAAATCATGTGCTGTGACAATCTGACTTCTTTTGTCGCTCGAGGGAGCACCTCTGGAAGAAAAGATACAACAAACCAGACCCTCTAGTTTGAGTTGCAGAACTGTTTCTTGTACCGAACACCTAGGCTGTTGGGTCTCTTCACCGCTTCGTGTGCTCTCAGTTTGCCTCTTGGGACATTCCCAGCACTTTCCAGCAGCATAAGATGAACAGGGATAGTCAAAAGCGCTGCTGGTCCTCTTCCCTTTTTGTGCGTCTCGGAACACAGCTTGAAAAGCCACAGCTGTGGTGCAAGAGCCTTCTTTTCAAGAACACAGCTTGAAAAGCCACAGCTGTGGCGCAAGAGCCTTCTTTTCAACTGAGGCCGTTTCTGAGAACTGGAGCCAAATTGCTTCCATGCTCTGAGCAGCCCCTGACAGCACTCTCGCCATTCCTTGAAGCTCTGTATAAACATCCTTCTTACCGTCAAGGATGCAGCACAATTGTTCTATTGTTTAGATTTCAGCTTGCATCCCAGCATCTTTTTTGTCCCCTCACTGTGGTCTCCTGCCTTGACTCCCTTCCCCTACTTCTCTTTGAATAGCTCGGTTAAGGAGGCAGCCTCATATTCGTGCCTGGGACTCCTTTGCACCAAATAAGACACACACACCCCTTGCGTCACTAACTTTGACGACATCAAGCATTGGACAGATCCATCTGCTAGGAGCTGGCCCGCTTGTCCGGTCATCCTTGTCATACAGCCAAGTCCCTTGGTAGCAAATGACTATTTATGAAATGAGGCTGTTTGTTGTTGGATATTCTCTCTGAGTCAGGCAATTAATTCATTTATTTAGTGCATGATTATAACTGAATGTAACATAGCACAGAGATCTATGTTTGTTTGTCTGTTTCTAATGCTCTTGCCACATTATGGCGACTTGTGTTATATTTTAGTGTTTTGTCATGAAGCTTTGTTTTAATCCTTTGTCAATTGCCTGGAATAGTGCTTCGGCACTAATGGAGCAGCATATAAATTAAAGTAATAAATAAAATCTGTCTGTCTATCTATCCATCCATCCTCCCACCCATTTATCTGTCCATCTATCTAGCCAGCCAGCCATTTAATCTGTCAGATTTTAAATTTTGGAGTCAAGGCTGTTCAAGTTGGTGCTAATTTCTATGTGAGTGCCTAATTTCTAGTAGCCATCAATTTTTATTACTACAAATAATATGAATTTTGCTAGTTATTGCAAGACGCTTCCGGGCATTGAACCTTTGCTTTGGCCTTTGACACGCCGAAGCAGATAACGCTTCAGTTCTTTCAGCTGGCACTGATCATCCGCTTTCAACCAAACCTTCGTGTCTCTTAAAGTTTAGAAAGGGGCGTTGCCATTCCTAAAGATGAAAGCTGAGATTTTATAGCTGAAATCTCAACAGATAATTGCCCTGTCCTCTGCTGTCATGTAAAGGCTTAATTTGTGGGGCACCCGTGGGCCTGACACTTTCCATCACCTACCTTCGTTGCTGTCATCATCAGTCATCATCATCATAGAAATGCAGAGTAGGAAGGGATCCTATAAATCACTGCGTCCAGCCCATGTCAAGGAGACACAGTGGGGAATCAAACCAGGATCCTCTTGCTGTTTCATAAATTGCTGCAGCAAGTTGTGATGTGTACCTTGTCAGTTAGCTACATTTAGTTGTGATCAGTTAACACAGACCTTACATGAAAGCTAATAGGATTCCAGCCCTAGTCCTGTGTGTCTGTCCTGTGTGCCTGTGCATCATTACATACAAAGCTGTCTCTGTTACTCTTTCTTAAAGCAGATTCCGCCCCCCCCCCCCAATTTCTTTGGAGCCGGCCTGTTCTTAAGACTGGCCATTGTGTAAGTCTGAAAGTGGTTTAGTAGGGCTGTCGGCTCCCCCTTCTTTGATCTCAGCATCCTCATGTGCCTCCGTGTGTCCTGCTAATTGAGTAAAATGCTAGTGCCTCTCCATACGTAATATCTCAGTGTAATTGTTTTGACATCTACCCTTTGGTGTGTCTGCTAAAATACACGTAGACTAGAATCGGGGGTGGGGGGAGCTTTGCTTCTCTTACTGCAGATTCGGCCGTTGAATGAATTTAAGCAAAGCTTGGATTAAAAACAGCAAGATGTTGTCTTTGCAATATACAGGTTGTCATGCTTCGCTTTTGGGATGTGTGCGTTCGCCTCTGAAATAATATCCATTTGGATGCAAGCCACAGTGGGAAGCATATAAGCTGTAGGCTTTATGTGGCCTTGGAAGTCTTTTTTGTTTTGTTTTTTGGCAAAACCCAAAACAAAATCTACTATTACAGTTGCAAGCCGTGCAGCTTACATTGCCTTCTGCTTTCCCCTTGCTTTTCCTTCCTGCATCGAGACACTCTGCACTTCCGTCTCTCGGGGCTCCATGGTGGTCGATGATGCTCTGACAACCCCGTACACTGTAGAGCAGCCCTGGTTGCTCCTGAATTATGGGGTCACCTGGAAGCAGGGCCACCGGCAAGTCTTTGGATCTGAGTCACAAGTCTGAGTCTTTGGTACCAAGTCCCAACCCTCAAGTCTTGAGTAAAAACAAGCTCCCCCCCCCCTGAAAAAAGGGTGTGGGTGTGTTGAGTTGAGTCATTGAAAAAATAACCCGAATCACGTTCCCAGTGCAACTTAAGTCTGACTTGACATCGAGTCCCACAACTTGAGTTCCCATCCCTTGAAAGTTTGTGGAGATGTGGGAAGCAGCTCCACCAAGCTGTCGTCCTCCAGTAAGAACATTGGGTTCACCGCTGAATATTGCATTTCTTGGTTTCATTTCTGTGAAACCGTGGAAGCTTCCTTGGACCAGTCATACTGGCTCATTCTACTTGGTGGGTGTCTGCACCAGGGTTGGCCAACCTGTGTTCCTCCAGACGTTGACCATCTCCAGTGTCCATGTGGAGACTGCCATTCTATTCCCGGAACGGAAAATGATCTCTCTTTCTGACAGCTGGGATGAACTGAGCACAGCCATGTGTAATGGCAATTTGCTAAGTGTAGATCCTCAGAGAAAGTCCTCATAGATATATCTGCAAAAAGAATCCAGAAATTCAAGGGAGATTGTGTTGATCTAGGTATTTTCATCTTTATGAGGAGGATCAGTCCTTTTGTACAGCTAATGGGTTAATTGCTGTAGCTTAATGGTGTAGCTAATGGTTCTAAATTGCTATTCCTTAATCCTTCATACCTGTTCATCAAAGGGTCTGTTACACTGAAGCTCAGGGAGGGAGACGCAGAGAGAGACCAAACGGTGGAGAGAGAGAGAGAGAGGGAGAGAGAGAGAGAGAGAGATCACACTGCTTGATAATGGCTTAATTCACATTAACCAGACATACGCAACACGAACCTTTCTCTGCTGTGCGGTGTGTGTTAGCCTTAAAGATGAGAAAGAACAAGGAAAAAAGGGCCCATCTAGTCCTTAAAGGTTGAGACTGGGTTGTGTGGTTCTGTTGGACCGCTGAATAGTGCAGGATGGGATGTTTGAGCCCAGCTGTCTTCCTTAATTTCATTTCAAGAAAAAAAAAGCCAAAGGAAACGCACACACAACAAAAAGGAGCAAACAACGCTCCCCACGGCAAACAAACAATCGGCCAAACAAAACAATAAACAAAAAGAGGCGAGGCTGGTTTCTAGGTCTAATGGATTGTGTGCCGTTTGTTGGGTAGGCAAAGTTTACACAAAACAAAGGCTAGAAAAAGGACTGAAATAGCCTTTATAGGATGCCTTTAAGGATTTTTATTTGTCAGGGTTCTGTTGAGTTAACAGTGAAGAGCGAAGTGTTCTGTCCGCAATGTAACCAGACAGTCCGTCAGTTATGCTGTCAGTTAAGCTGTTCAGCTCAGTAATGTAACAGGGTAACACACAAAATATGGTGTTTGTTTTTATACAAGAAGAACGGTGAGGAAAATGGAGCCTTTCTCATTACCAGAATCTCTTTAAGTGAATGTATGGAGACAGTAAGTGCCAGTTGAAGTAAACTAAAAACTAAGGACTGGTTTACTGAGGGGGTGCTGTAGTTCAATCTACTGTGCAGGTTCCTGCCCATAACTATTTTTATTAGTTGCATAAATCAGAAGGAATCTTTATTAAGGGCCGCACTCCATTTTCCTCACCCCAAACTTTGCCAAACCAATGCCAGCAAGAAAAATGTCCGAAATCACATCTCAGGTGAGGGGTGGGGAGAGATGAGGGCAAGTCCTAGTGCCCTCGATGGCTCCTGTTGACTTCCTTGTGATTAGCAAAACTGTCCTAAATAATGTGGCTAGCATAACATGTAGAAACAATCTCAGTCTGGAAGTAGCAGAAGGTGTATGTTTTTAGCTGGGTGGAGAGTTAAAAAGAGGACACAGCGATGTGATGGGTTTCATGCTACTTTACGGTTCAGTGTCATGGGTTCTGTGAAAGGATCCTGGAAATTATAGCTTGGTGGGGAGTCCAAAGATTTCCTTTTCCCCTCCCCTCCCTGCAGAAGGCAACCGTCAACCGTTCCTTGGGGCAAACGGACGCGACGGTGAAACCATCTTAAATCTGTACTGCAGATGTGGAGGCAGAATGGAGGGGGGGAGGCATGCAGGACATATGGGTCGTGCCCTTTTTAAATTTGAAAAGGAAACACTTAAGAGCATGGCCATGCAGCCTTTTCCTAATAATAGCCTTTGCATTGTGGGTGAAATGTTTTTGTGTTCGCCCCTGCTGTATTTCTTGCATCCTGTTTCTGTGAAAAAGATAAAGGAAAAAAAAAAGGGGGACGGGGGGACAGGGTGGGTGGGAAGATGTTGCCAGAGTAAAAATTCTGTCTTGTTAAAAATGTACTGGGAGCAGATGGTCTGTGCGGTCCGTCTGGCCGAGGGAAACAGGAGAACCATGTAACTCGGCCGTTGTATAACACACGAATACAAACGCCATACATGGAGAAGTTTTATCTGATTCTGAAAACGTTTAAGGAACACTTAATGATTGCCTTTGCACGGGCTAGGAGCCCTTAAGGTAGGAGAGAAAACCAAGTATGGTTATGCCCCTGAAACCTTAAGGTGCCCCCCCCACCCCAGGGATGGAGAGATCTCGGAGGGGGTTCAGTGAGCTATTTTGGAAGAAACCGCCCTACTGCCAAAAGGGTGTTTGGTCTTGTTCCGGAAAGAACATGTGATAGGTTTCTTTTCTTTAAAGGTTGAGCTATAGAGGTGCATTTCTTAAGCATTGTAGTATCAAGGGAAGACTGGAAATGAATGAATTAGAAGGTGCAACTCGGCCCAGAAAAGCCCCCCCGGGGAAGGAGGAAACACAGGTTTTACTGACTCAAAAAGCAGAGGAAAGAGTGTTGGGCTGTTAAAAGAATCACAGAAAATTGGGATTGGAGGGGGCCTCTAAGGCCATTGAGTCCAAACCCCCTGCTCAGCGCAGGAATTTACGTCAAAGCCGATCTGACAGGCAGTAGTCCCGTTTTCTCTTGAACGCCTCCAGCGTTGGAGCGCTCACCACCTCCCGAGGTCACGGACTCCATTGTCGAACTCCCCACTTGAATGTAGGGGCTTTGACTAAATGAAGTATAGCAGACCAAAAGATAATATGAAGGTGAAAATGTCACTCAGGCATAAGCTATATATATAGTGGCCAAATCCAGTTGTACAGTTGAGCAATGGGAATGATGTTTTGGTCGGCAGCAGATTGCTGCTGATTAAAGACTTCTTTTCTCAGTTTAAGAGTGTGCACAGCTCGCATGCAATGAGACAAAGTTGCGTGCATCCCGAAATTGAAAAAGGATATCTGAACCTGTCCTGTTCAGAGGCAGTTGGATGGGCACTGTGAAAAGTCACAGCAAGTGACTGAACCAGAGGGTGAATATTCACATCGATTGTATTTATGGATTTTTCTTGTAAGAAGCAGGGGTGTCCATTGATATGTATCAACAGTTTGCTCTCTGAAAAGGTGTGGAGTAATTTACTGAAAATAAATATGCAGCTGGAGTGAGTGAGTGTCACTTCCTTGAATGTTCAGAGAAATCCACGGCTGTTTAGAAACTGAGTGAAGTAGTGTCTTTTTCAGTTATATTTTGGAAATCATTTATGAATTTTGAGGGTCTTTGTCATTTAGAGAAATAAATCAGACCAGATTATGATTCTTTACAGGCTAGCACATGTATTTTGGACAAGTGTTTAGTGGTCATTGCTTATTATTTTATGGTTTGTGTGTTGAAATAATACTTTAATAATCTCTCTCTTTCTCCCTCTCCCCTTTTCTGTTCCAGCGTTCTGGGTCATGAAACTTAATCCACAGCAAGCACCATTATATGTGAGTAAAAACACACACATATATTTTAAACCTACACTTTCTGTTCTCTGGGGCATATTGAAACTGTGCTTTGTGTTTTACTGTTGTGATTCTTAAAATATAATCTAGTCAAGGATTAAATAATCTGCATTATTTTGAAGTGGTGGCATTATTGAGGAGTTGTTAAATCTACAGAAACATAATAGTTTAGGGGTCTTTGTATCCCATGTCTACCCTGCCTGCTTGGTGTTATGCCCCATGAGCTGCAAAATAGATGATGTAGAATTTCCACATTGCTTTCCTCCATATACAGGGTTCAAATGTGTTTAGATAACTCCAACATAGTTAAGACGTCTGAACCTTGATTTCAGATGCGATTGAAAATACAGATAATTGGAAAATCTGATTGTTTGACCTATAAGTATTCAACATGTGAAACATGATGGATGCCGGCTGGGCTTTTTGTGCATTTTGTGAGCTCATGAAAGACTAAAGTTGTTTCCAAAGGCTTGGGTACCATAATCTTTCAGAACGATGCTTGCTGTGAGCCATTAGTTCTTCTTGTCCCTACAGCTCAGAGTCCAGGCCTGGGTTGGCGGACAGAGAAGCTGCTATTGGCAACAGTCTCCTTTTATGCTAGATAAGGAATAGAGATAACCTTTCCAGATTTCCTGGCCAAAAAATTGAAAGATTTAATGTTACTTCTATTGGAGATTCTGGGGACAGATATTCTCTGTCCTGCCTCCAGTCGGAAAATATGTTGGAACTGGGGGTCTGGAGGCCATTGCTGCCATCCCTTACGTCAGCAGTCCCCAACCTTGGGCCTCCAGATGTTCTTGGACTACACTTCCCAGAAGCCTTCACCACCACTTCTGCTGGCCAGGATTTCTGGGAGTTGAAGTCCAAGAACATCTGGAGGCCCATGGTTGGGGACCACTACCTTACGCCACTGGGTAACCCAGAGGTTCTTGGATTGCAATTCCCAGAAAACTTGGCCAGCACATCTGGTGGTGAAGGCTTCTGGGAGTTGTAGTCCAAGAAGGCCTGGGGACCCAAGCTTGGGAACCTCTGACCTATGCCAAAGGTAATTTTCCGAGCAGGTGGGATGAGGATTGGATGGTGGAGTTAGGCGCTTTAACAAGTACACATGATCATTTTGCCAGTGGCCGGACCAAGCACTCACAAAATTTGGACTCCTGTTACGTGAGAAGTTGGATGCTCGTGGAATCTAAACTTTGGATGCTGGATACAGAGGTTGCTTTGCCAGCCACTGAGGCAGCCAATACTCGGGGTGGAATGTCGGGCTGTGGGGTTTCTGTTTCCTGTCTCACACACTCAAAACTTGGACATAGAACGGAAGAGACTAGACTTCTAGGAACAGCCAGGAACCGGTGATTCATGCTGATAGATATAGACTTCCTTTTATAGTATTCCACGAAATGAAACTCTTCACAAATCACAGTTTGTTTGTTTTTTGTTACACATGATTTACCTCGTGGCAGCCTTGCAGACTGTGGTTCCCCAGGTTTGTGTAAGTTGCCAGATTTGTGATGATCCGTCCCGTGTGGTCCTACTACTGAAATTTGTGGCCTCCGAGCAACTTTTTTGTTTACACGCGGGTTTCTGGAAGGTATCCCAGCATCCGCCAAGCAGGTTTAGATGTTCCATTTGGCAATCCCGGTAGTCGTAGTCTCTCTTGGAAAGAAATGAGAAGGAGAAAACAAAAACACTAGTTAAAAGAGGGTGTGATAAAGGAAGAAATGAGAAGGAGAAAACAAAAACACTAAAAGAGGGTGTGATAAAGGGCTTGTTTTGTGATCCAGGAAATATTACAAATAAACAGGACTACAGATAAACTACAGGCACAGATATGTGCAAGACAGACAGACATACTGCATTTTTACCTTACAGTTTTTGTGAAAAAGATGGAACAAATGTGCTTTTGTCTAAGGACAGGAAAGATAGCTCTCCGCAAGACATGTGTTGAGCAGTACGGCTGTTGGGGATCTTCTGGATAAGGTTGCAGGGCAGTAAACACTAGAGAAGCGGGTTCGAACAACAACAAAACAGGAGAACTCCCAATGAAATTACGGCACCATTTCATTGAGCTTCTTCCCACAGTCTTAGCTCCTGCTAAAATCAGTGTTTTTTCCACCTGTATACTCTGAGAACCCTTGAGTTCTTGGACGGTTGAGTGAGAAAAACACAGTCGCAGTTTCCCTGAAAGAAAACTTGGCAGGCGTTACTCATCCTCCTTGACAAGATGAAGCCGTGGAGAGCGTGGGCGCTGTTCTAGGCGTGTCTGCGCTTTCTGTCGGGTGTTGCCGAGAGTTAGCCAGCCTAGCTGGGGCTTAGAAGAGCATGTGGGCCCTGGATCACTTTCCCAGAATCTTTTTGGAAGCAGCCAAAAATTTTGGAGCAGATTTCCGTAAGTCAATATAGAAAGGCAGTCCTCCGAAGCTAAAATGCATGAAAACTGGTTGAAACAGTGAACTTATCTGCCCCTCATATACATGGTGTCTGAAAGCACTCTGTAGTTTTGAAGGTTGTCCTAAGCAGGAGTAGATGATGTGGGGCTCTTTTTTTGTTTGTATCTTTTTGGTTGACTTAATAAACCTATTACCACAGTATAGATTTTAGAGTTTAGATTTAATAGTAATAATGATTACGGCTGCAAGGTTAATTTTTGCAAGAAACTGGAGAAATGATAATCAATTTAACTTGGAGGAATGGTATAGAGAATTATGGGACATGGCAATTAATGATAAACTGACATGTGATAAGAAAATAAGAAGCCAATTGAAAAATAATGATTTTAAGAATATATGGAATGGATTTTTGGAACACGTATTTCGGAGAGGGAAGGGGTATACACCGAGGGAAGAAACAATGAAATTTTGGAGTGAAAATGGATGGAATAAAGTGTAACGCTAGTCCTGAAGGTGATGGGAGCACATGTGTAATTATATTTTATTATTTTGTATTGTTTTTTATAGGGTTTTTTGGTGTGGTAGTAGGTTTATTTTGTATCAATAAACAAAATTTATATATATAAAAAAGAGTTTCTCTAAACTCATGTGGATGAGTCGATGATACTGTGGCATTTGCCCTTGTGTCCCCTGCTAGTCTGTCCCTCACAAAGGCCCACATCGCGTTTTCCTCTCACTGCCACCAGTGGATTACCTCAATACACAATATAAATGACGTTTGTCTGAACACTTGACTTGTGAACAGAAACAGTACGTAAGAGTGACAGAAATTAAGCCTTCTTTTGTGACAAATCAGTTTTCCACACAGAAAGCATACCCTCTAGGAATGTGCTGCAAGGCAAACAACCAGGAAACTGTTATTTGGCAGTTACAGGTCCACGTGTATTTGCGGTTCTTGGATAATTTTTTTCATTTTTTCAGGCAAGGTTTTTAACCAGAAATCAACCTTGTTGTTTTTCAGTTTTCTGGCTTTCTTTTGCACCAAGTTTAATTCCAAATACTCTTCATTCATATCATAGCGCGGCCATTCCACCAATCCTTTGCCATTTGGGTTTCTGGAAGATATTGGAATGCAGAATTTAGTTCTTGCTCTATGTGTCGACCTCCGTTAAAAGTAAAACCGTCAATTTTTCAAAGCCTAACCAAGGATCTCACCCATTGTAGGCAAAGTTGCCCCAGTATTTCATGATTGTCCTGCTGAGCTCCTTCTCCTTCTCTGTAAATTCACCTGAAAAGAGCCATTGAGAGAAAGCAATTATTCAAAGAACACGTGCTTTCCTTGGAACTCATGAACTCTTTGTCTTCAGTGAGTATTTTTAAGAGAATGCTCCCTTCTTCTAAAGGAACGAAATTTAGCCCTTGCTATAAAAGAGAAAAGTTGGCTGGATAGCTCAGTGGTTTGGGTCGCCAGCTGTGGAGCCAGAGGTTGGGAGTTTGATTCCCCACTGGGCGCCTCCTGAGAGAAGAGCCAGCCTGGGTGTCCTTGGGCAAAGCTGCACAGTCTCAGGATGCTTCGAGAAGCAAGGAACAGTAAACCACTTCTGAGTATTCATTACCTAGAAAACCCTGAAAAGCGTCACAGTCAGAATTAACTTGATGGCCTGCAATTGTTGTTCGGAAATGCAAGGCACACTGGGTATTATAGAACAAATACAAGTTTTAACTAAATATCTTATGCGAGGCACCACTGTATTATTAATATATTAATTATTATAATTATTAAATTAATTACAGTAGGACTACAGTATCCATGGGGATCACTTCCAAGCATACACATCCCACAGATGCCAAAAAGGGCAGGTATAGAAACGCTATATCTAGTATAATTTGAGGTGGGGAGTGCTCAACAAGCACTATGTGTAAATAACGTGCATGTAGGAATTCATCCGGGTAGGTGGGGCTCGTCAGCCAGGGAAGGCAGCCCATCTAGGAGAAGGAAAACTCCCATTTCAAACCTCCACTGCCTTGTGGCTATATCCACCGATGGAAAAGGCTTCAGGAGTTAACCTCGAGGCAAAATCCGGAGCTCGAGTCCCGAAGGCAGCATCTGTCGTTCTGCCAACTCCTGCGACATTGCTGGAACCAGTTGTATTGGCTCTTGCCTTTCCATTGGACCATTTCAGCAATGTGGAGAAGGGGGATCTGCTGCTTGGGTGACAGCCTATCCTCCATATTACCTTACCCGGGCTTCATGCTCTGGAGAGGACACTCCTCGATTCAGAGCATGTTACCATAGTCTCTCGAGACTGAAGGATGCCTATGATGATTCACCAGGCACAAGAAGCGAATTAAGGGCAAATTAAAGTCAAATTGAGTTTTCTCCTGATCAGCCATAAGCAGATGTTCCTTCAGTTTGCAGTCATCTTAACTGAAGATGAGTAGAAACTGGTCTTGTTGAGTTGCCCTTCCCTTCACCTTCTTGTTTCCGTCTGTCATCCTGTAAAGTCAAGCCATGGTAGAGGACGGCAGGCTGCCACCCAGTGGAACTCCAAGAAATGCACCTGAACTTATAATAAAGCTTTTTGCTCCAAA